CAACTAAAGGACTTGTATGCATGCATATAAGCATAACCAATGGACACAAGACACTGGGGGGGTAGGGGAGGCCGGGGGAATGTCAAGGCGGGGATAAAAGGAGACATATGTAATACTCTTTGTAATACTTTAAGCAATAAAAGAAAATTAAAAAATAAAATAATAAAATAAATAAATAAAATGGTTTAGTTCTGCAAAAAAAATTATAAATGTAACCACTGAGAGAATATAAATCACATGCATAATTTTCAAAGTCATAGGGGGAAAAATCAAATCAGCTCAAAATGGAAAAGGAGGGATAAAGAAGTAAACAAACAATGGCACAAATGAAATACAAGATAACATTATAAAAACAAGTCCCAAAACATTTATAATTAAATATAAATGTAAATTAATCATAGGTGTCTATTAAACAACTCATATTGCATATGAAAACAAAACCAGGAGCCATGTGGATTACAAAAGACACATCTAAAACATCACCACACAAAAAAGCTAACAATAAAGGGGTAGAAAAAGATACACTAGGTAAAGATATGGCAATATTAATATCAGACAAAAGATAATTCATGGTGAAAATTATTAATATAAATTAAAAGGAAGTGACTTAATAATCTTTTATCAGCTACCACAAAGCTGTAACAAACATGAACTTGTATCCACCTCATAATATCAACTAATATAAAACAATAGTTGACCAAATTACAAGGAGAAATCAACAAATTCACAGTCATAGTGGGACATTTTAATGCTGATAGAACAAAACCCAAAATAAGTATTAAAGGTGTGGAAAATTTGGACAAGTTAACATACATGGACATAAACAACAGTATGGGGTGTGGGGGGAGATAGAAGAAGGTAAAGGGGAATAAATGGTGTTGGAAGGAGAGTTGACCTGGAATGGTAACCACACGATACAATATACAGATGGTGTATTATAGAATTGTACACTTGAAACCTATATAATTTTATTATTCAATGTCACCCCAATAAATTCAATAAAAAATAAATTAAAAAACTTTATATCCTCTACAGGGTACTGATTTGGGGGGTTGACTTTCTACTTAGCAAACTTATTTAACTTTCTTATTGCTTTTTAATTAGTTTATCTGTAGATTATTTTTATCTGGAAAATGATATAATCTACAAATTACTGCTGTCTTCACTTTTTCAATTCTAATAACTTTTGTTTATATTTTTATCTTATTGTATTGGCTATTACTTCCAATACAATGTCAAATAGTAGGTGGGTAAGTGGGCATCCTTGGCATATTCCTGCCTTTAAGGAGAACACTACTAAAAGTCTAATGATTCAGTAAAATGCTTGAAATAGATTTTTTTTTTATGGTGGGAGAGATACCCTTTGTCAATTTAGAGAA